ATATATATATATATGGTAACCCCTCACACCTGCTGAATGTGTGTGTGTGGCTTCTGGAGTAGGAATGGGTTTTTTCAATAATATTCATGACACTTTGGTAAACAAAAATCGGAAGAAATCCGTCTTTCTTATCGGGCAATCGCGGACGACAATCGTAGGCGGGACAAATCGAACTATGGCACGGGACCGCGAGCTACTGTGCACTGATACGTGGTCAGTGGCGTTCACGACCAGCGAGAACACTTCCCATTCCGGGGATTGTGTCTCCTTTCGCAAGAATATTCGAGTAAGTCGGCGTGATAGCTCGACTTCCCTCCAGAAGAATGTTGAGTAAGTCAAGGTGTGAGAGTTCGACTTCTCTCCGAAAGGATGCTCCAATAAGTGTTTTTCAGAGCTGCTCTCCCGAATCATGAAGTCTCGGTACCCCCCCCCCTCCTCTACTCCAGTGAGAATCCTCCAGATACGCGCGATTGAATTTACGGAGCACGGTGGGGCGGGGCTTCGACGAATGCCGCGGGATTCCTTTTAACAGCTAAAATGTTCGGGCTATGTTTCTATTTCTTTCGTGACCGGTAAAAACATCGGCAAGACCTACTTCGGACCCGCACGGGCGCCGCGGTTCGTTGAAGCCGTAAATGTGTCTCCCCCAAGTGTGTGCAATTAACGTAGAGTCTCTTGGAGGAGCGGTCGCGTGGGTGGGAAAAGCACCCTCTCGAGGATTCCGAGGGACCGAGTTCCCGACAAATTGCTCCCTTCTCCCCAAATTGCGCCATACAACGTCATAAATTATATATTAATTTTTATATTATATATAATTTATATATATATATATATATATATATATATATATATATATATAATTTGTACCTTTTCGGTAATTGTAATTAAATCTTAATTTTTTGACGACTGAAAATGTCAGTATCATTCATTCTGACATATCACAAGTCATACAGACTAGCTATATTCGGCCTGTTAAAAAATAATTTTCGAGTATTTAATAATTACGTTCAAAAACTTAAAAATCGTCAAAAAAGAGGCTTTTGACACAATTCAAGCCCAGTTTTGTTTTCCCACCCTAAAATTTTGCCGCCGTTGGCACGTTCCTCCTAAATCTTTGCGTATCTCCGCCCTGGTAATCGTTGGTTTGAAAGTTACGTTTGCAGTTGGTTTTCATTTTTCAGCAGATTATATGTGAATTCGAGTTTTCTTGTGGTGGCATGTGGGATTGGTTCTTGTGTTTCTAAACGTTTTTTAAATTTATTTCTCATACGTGGTCAAGGTATACGTGGACACACCCATCACGAAAGTTCAAATTGATGATATATAATATAATCTCATATAATAGTGAGACAGAAAGTTCAAGATGTAAGAGTGATGAGAGGACCAGAATGTGGATTAGATTACCATCTATTGGTTTCAAAGATATTATCGCGTTTATGAAATACATAGGATTGACTACAAGAGATATTGAAAATGGAAATAAAAATCAATACAAGATAGAGGATCTATAATGTAAGCAAGCTTTAAGATGATTCCATTAAGTTTTTATACAAACTTAGACAGCGAATAAAATCAGTAAAATACAAGGAAGTCCATCAAATCAATTCTACAAAGAAATAAAAAATATATCAAGCAAACCGCCAGTGAAGCTATGGGGGAAATTCCTTAGACTAGTATGCAAAGGAAAACAGAACCTTGGTGGAATGAAAATAATACAAAAATGAGTTGAAGCAAAGAAGACATTATGCAAAAAGTGGCTTGTAACGAATGCTCCAGATGACAGAAATGAATATTATAAGAAAAGAAAAGAAACTCAAAAGTTAATAAACAAAACAAAAAATGAAATGTGGCGAAATAACTGTCAAGAAATTAATAATTTTGTAGGAAACACGCAAGCTAACAAAGCCTAAGAAATTCTTCAAAAAATGGGGAAGAGTAATAAAGACACAGCGGGTCTTAGTATCATAGATAGGAATGAATGGAGAACATATTCAAGAAATGTATTAACAGAAGACAGACCAGATTTTATTGAACAAACCGGCAACTGAAAACAAGTTCAACAGGAAAAAATGAAAATGAAAAAAGGTAAAGCACCAGGTATGGGGAACATGAATATAGGGTTGACCAAATATGGTTCATGGAAACTAATTGTGGCACTTCCTCAATTATTTAACAAATGCATGGAAGGTGAGAAAGTTCCCGGAGAATGAAATTTTATAATGTACTGGCAACCACAATCACCAGTACCCAGATTATATGGTATATATATAATGGTATATTTAATAAAGAAATAATTTAATAATTATTATCACAATAATAATAATAATAAAAATAACAATTATAATAAAATTATTACTAAAAACTAAGTATTTTAATATGCATAACTTATTAATTAATACATTTTACAAGTGATCTTAGTTAACATACATTTAAAACTTTGCACACCTAGAGGAAAGGGTTCCATGGCTATCACAGGCAACGTATTCCAGTCAGTTATTGTTCTATTTGTGAAGCCACATCTGTTCTCTGTGTCTTAAACTGAATTTTATGCTTGTGATCCCCTCGACTAAAGTATGTTTGTCAACTGAGTTGGATGTAGATATATTTACAAGCTGGATAACCGGCATACGCTTTGTACAGGGCACAGAGTCTTGTCTTTATCCTCCTGATTTCTAGAGACTCCCATTCTACTTTCTTCCTATTGCTGCAGAAAGTAAGTTAACACGCTCTTCTCTGGGCTCTATTCAAAAATTCCTTTTGTGAATTTCTATAAGGGTCGCAACCAATCGCCCCGTATTCCATTAATGGACGAACTAGAGTTAAGTAAGCTAATTCTCTCGCTTTCGCAATATTTTTTTTTAGTATTCGCATAGTAAAATGCAAGACCTTCAGGCTTTCCCTAAAACAAATTTTACTTGATTTTTCCAATTTAATTTGCTATCAAAATTTATTCCCAGGTTCTTACAACCCAAGACTCTTGGGATATTTTCGTTGCCTAAACGAAAATTGCCTTTCACTATATTTGCGACTCCTACCAAACGTGATGGTTTTGCTTTTTGAACTATTTATTATCATGCTATTTTTTCTACCCAGAAATGTAATCTATCTTGATCATACTGCAAAATATCCTCGTCTACTTTTGATTGAATAACTCGATATATTATACAGTAATCTGCAAATATTCTTACCTTGGAAAATATATTGTCTAGCAGGTCGTTTACTCACGCGATAAACAGGAGTGGTCCAATAACGCTTTTTTTTGAGGGATCATTGAAGTTACCTCTTGCAGAGTTGATAACTGTTGTCCAACTCGGACTTTCTGTTTCCTATCTCGAAAAAGCTCATCAATCCACGCTACAACTCTGGTGTGAATACCCCAATGCCTAAAATTTATGAACTAGTTTATCGTGTGGGACATCATCAAGTGCCTTCGCAAAATCTATTATTATGGCTTCCATCCTCCCACTATCATCAACTTCATCTGCTATATCCTGAAAGTGTGATACTATCTGCCTCTCGCAAGAGAAACCATTCCTAAAACCATGCTGCCCTTGAAATAGCCATTCTTTTTTATCCCATTCTTGTCTAATATAGCTCGTTATTAAATGTTCCATTAGCCGACGTAAGACGTACCGGTCTAATTTGCTAAAACAGTTCTGTCACCATTCTTAAAAATCGGAACCATAGTAGCTAGCTTCCAAACTTTTGGCCCGCTTGAATTGTTGATCGAAACATGAAATAATCTTGTTAGATACGGTAATATTGCCTCTACACTGAGTTTAATTATGTCCGCTCAAATGGCATCTATATAACTATATCACGAATCGTGACGCTGCCGCACGAATCTCCGCAGTCGCCCGCCTGCTCGCCGTCAGAGGGCGCTTATCGCGCGGCCGCGCTGCTGTATACATGCGTTAACTGTGCCAAGCCTCTACTCTGGCAGAGTTGGGTTGCTGTCTGAATACCGGACGGGGCAGCCAAGGGCTCCCAGCTATCAGGCTGCCAAGCAATTTCCTTGTAGCGGTTCGTAAAAATGGGTCTAAATCCCAAGGTGTTTTGAATCATACGCTGAGTATAAAAATAAAGAGTGCAATTACATGTTTTCACGTACCTCTGTGTGAGAATGCTCAAAATGTTATCCGAATGCCAAATGTAATCTATAATAACTTGAAGTAATGATTTTACGCCTTACCTGTTGCAGATCCAAAGTATAACATGGCTGGGGCTGGGGGTGTATACTATGGTGCTACGTAACTGCAGTGTCCAGACTGACACCAATGCGTCAGTTTATGCAGTCATTTTGATCTACTTTTACAGTAAGTACCAAGACGTACAAAACTTGTACTCAAGAACCTATCAAATATGTTTACGCTCAATTAATATTTTAGATTCTGAGTTGCAGTATGGAGGAACATTCATTACATTCTGAATTGCAGTATGGTTGGAAGATTAAGATTAGTAGTACTTTTTGTTTCAATTTTTGGTCTCGATTGTGTTAAGCAGAACATTGTAGAGACAACTATAAGCTCACAAGCAAAAGTATGCAATTTCTATATGGCTAATGCTGAAATATTTTAGAAATAATTTAATAAAAAATAGAATAACGTAGCTACAAAGTGGCACAGGCTTTCTAATACATTTTAGTTTCTTTATCTTTGCAATCTGAGCTATCTTTGCGGTTTTCCCCGCCATCTTCTCAGCTGCCTTCTACTCTCGCCAAAAACACATTTTTTCACGTTTCTTCAATTTTTAGACTACTTAATAATAGAATTGAAATGTGACTTTAAGAATATTACAGATGAGTAAAATCTTGTTTTACAGGCACAGTTTCATTCGAAAATGTAGAACACTTTTTATAAAAATGTTTCGTTTGATCGTTTCTTAAAGTGCACATTTTGAACCTTGTTTGTCCTCAAAACATAAGTTTTTTCGGGAAAATTCGTAAAAAATTATTTGAAGTAATAGTACTCTCAAATGCGATAAAGTATACAAATTTCCGTATTGTCAATATCGAGAACATTTCAAAAAATATTTTGTTTAATTAAAATAAGCAACTAAAGGATAGCTCTAAGTGGCCTTCATGTCATGACATGCAGTGCTTTCAGCACCAGCTCTCCGTTTCAGCACTTCTCCGTTTTGAGGAACTGGCGCTTGCGCGGATCTGGAAATGCGCAATTTCGGCAGACGTTTCACAGAAAACTTTTGAGTTTCGAGAAAATGTATTATGCATTATTTCAATCATTTGTTTTAAAAAGATCTATAAATTATACAAATCACCGGTAGTATAAATATTAACGTCGCGAGAGAGGTATAAAAGAACACCTTTCGTCCTGTTTGTACGGGGGCACGCTTTGGAGGAATTCCGGCAATCTTTGAAAGAATCGAAACAAGCAGCCCAAACTGTCTTCAATGTCCGCAAAATAACATAAATCCATTAACCTATTAGGTAATGGTGAAGAAACCAAGCGAATACCCAGACTCCAACACTTATAACTACATTATATATTTGCCTAATTTAATACATATTTATGTGTGTGTCAAGAAAACAAAGACACTTGTGTCAATGTCATTGTTTCCTTAAAATTCAAATCTGCCGCGCTACCGGTTTTTAATTTACCGTTTAATAGTCAGTCTGAACAGTCTCAGAACAATTAAATCACGCAATTTCGTGATTCATGACAATCAAAATTTCTGAACTGAATGTTTTTGCTTTTCACCCACACCTAGTGTCATTCGCAATCTCACGCTCCATCCCAATAAACTATTTACATTATTACATCATTAGGTTCCATTTCCTTCCACCGACATTCTCACAGAAAAGTTCCGTGTCCTCGAATTTCTTCTCCTTTTAACGCGACGTCGACGGGTGCCTCTCCAAGAGAGTTCTCTTCTCAAGGGAAATCTCGCGGCCCAGCGCTGCCGTCGGGAGCGCCAGCCCCTCGTTCCCCGCTCCGCTGCCGCTTCCGGTCAGCGCTGAGTGCGCGATTGCGTCATCAATAGATCTTTTCGAAGTGAAGCTTCTTTACTCACGGTAGAAAATATTTAATATAATTTTCTGCGAAAAATGAGGAAGGAAACTGCATATACACATAGGAAAATTGCGGCACGCAAAAAATGCGCCAACACATTGAGAAAGAAATGTTTTTTTAATATAGCAAAAGAAAAACAATAAAATTCATTTTCTCAAAATTTTTGAAAATTATATATTATTTTCATAATTAAGTGCCGCAATTTTTCTCTTGCTAGTGTTTTTCGTTCTCAGAAAAAAATAATTTTTAATTTTAGTATAATTATTTAACAAAATATTGGTCGTAGTGTTGCATAACTTTTTGGCTAACTGCTTCATTGAAACCCCTCTCTCACATTGAATGTTCAGAACAAAGTTTGCATTTTCAAGTCTGTCCATAATCAACTTAATAGTTAGCCGTTTTGGAACAACTGGGAAAAGAAGAGGTATTCATATTCTGAACTAATTAACTGGGGTTTGCGAAACTTGAAATGCATTATTACAAATTTGCAAAGGTAATGCATTTTTGGATAAATAAGGTCTCCCCTGTCAATAATTTTAGATAGTCTCCAGCATCATCAGAGAGGCCTCTAAATTGAAATTCTTTGTTGGGTTAGTTAAAAACTCTTTACCGAATACACATTGGTTGTTCTAGAGTTAGCCTTTCCTAACATATCCTCCTGTGAATACAACTATTTACAAATCATCACTGGATAAATCTACAAAATCTGCATCACCAATAACTGATTTAAATGTTACTTACACTTCGGAGCATTCAAGATCATCTGAATAGAACATTAGAACAAAAATAAAAACTATTTCAAATAAAATTCTCTATTTTAAAAAATATCTTAGCCTAAGTAAACTAAGAAATTTTAATTTTCTCTTTTATTTTAAAATTAGTTGCCCAGAAACATGACCGCATTAGCGCCACTAAGCTGTCTGTATTTGCCAATTTGAATTTCTAATTTTTCTGTTTGAAATGTCCACAGAACATATTTTACTGAAACTTATTTTAGCAGATCTTTAATCGATTTTAAGTGAGCATTTGTTGTGTGAGAAACAGCAGTGTGGGTGTCTGTAGAGATCTTCCTTGTATGAGTGCGGCTGTCTTCACTAGTTCTAGATGATTTCCAAGCATTTAACCACTTACAGAATTCCACCAAAAACAAGTATCATGCATGATTGGTTGAGGTGATTCGTAGGCTCGTGGTAAACATATCTCAAGTCTATTCATCCTCCAGGTAAGACGAATTTCTAAGAACATTTTAGTGCCGTTGACCACATTCAGCGTCGCAATAGTCTTTTCAAGAAGCCGAAGAGCATGGACTACATTCTGTCTTTCAGTTGAAGATGGTTTGAAGACTTTTTGAATAAGAGCACGTGTTAACTTGAATTTCATTGAAGCTCTTTCAATTCTTTGAAAGTCATTAACGTTTGTAAATTCAAAAATCTTATACACATCATGTTAATTAAGCGAATTATTCCTCATGGTCTTTAATAAGTGAAGTGAATCAAAGAACAAATCTTGATCAGGACACATAGGATTTTTAACTGTAACTTCGAAGATACCACTAGCAAGACCCATAAATTGTGTTAACTCTTTGGTTAGCACATATCAAATCAATTATCTTGTAACCACAAATATCTATAAGAGCAAGAAATTGTCTACAGACACAATTTAATTGGTATATATTCCTTTATTAATGATTATAGACAACTAATTTATTTTATTCAAATATATATTATTGAAATCACTTCTTATTTTTTGTTTACTAACAACGTTTAGGAGTTTGATTTACTCTATTTTCAGGCGCTTGTAAAACATAAAGTGCAAACCGATCAACACTCAGAATTTACGTTCTCCATACTTTATCACCCAGTATAGCATTGTAGTTCTGGGAGAACATCGAACTCCGAAACGTTGTGAATAAACAAAAGATAAGATGCGTATTCAATAACATATATTTGAATAAAATAAATTAGTTGTCTATAATCGTTAATGAAGCTATATATACCAATTAACTCAACTGTATGAGAAGATTTGCAACATTGATACATAAGAAACAAATAAAATCATCTTATTATAATTTTTATTGGGGAAATAAAGCAGCAGCATCTCTGTTTTTAGAGTACAGAGTTAGAATAAATGTCTGTATAGATGTTGCTGCTTCTTCTCAATTTAAATCCTGTCTTTCAATTCTACCTCCTTTGTAAGATAACTGGTTTCTGCAATTAGTTTTTATCAATCATGACAATAACTTCCCATTCATGTTCTTGTGTTTGCACTTTTCTTTCAAGTACTTAGCATGAGGTTCATACTTGATTGGTTGGATGCCATTCGTAGTGAAAACGTTTAAAAATACATTGCACGAGAAGTGTTAAAACTGCAGAGTTCCTCAAATCACTTGTGCTGAAGTGTGTCCAAGTGTGTTCTTTGGAACCAATTTCCTTAACTAATGTCCAAGAAAACTTGAAAATGCCCGAATCATTATCTGAGGACAGCACGAAGGTCTATTAGTTCCCAATAATTGTAACTGTTCGTGAATAAATAACAGCATTTTAACTTTACTATTTCCACCAACTATACTACTCTTTACCATTACACTTACACTCACAAGTCTCGCTACAAACATTGCAATTTTTATTACTGGCACATTGCTTAATAACTCCACACACAAATGACATATTTTCTACAGTAGATGTATTAACATTCCACACTTTGAAACGATTAAATAGATTTGTGAATTTCATTCACGTAACACTTAACATCTTTCCTTAAAAACCGTAGTCTTACGAAAGCACCTCTTCTCCTTCAAAAACACTAGAACACATAAATCATTTTTGACAAGAAGAACAGCATCCATTTTTTGCAAGTGGGTTGTATTTTAAGAAATTAAACGAATCCTTACACTGTATAACAGTCTAGTCTCCAACTTCACAATTTAATTTTGTAGGGTAGAACTTTGAAAAATCTTCAAATGATTCTCTGTCTTCTTTCAAAAACTGCTGAAATCTAAGTCATTGCTTTTTTCTAATCTCGCCCTCCTAGCAGATGGATGAACTCGAGGTAGTGGTGGTCGAAATGTGTAATAGGACTGTTGTTTCTCAAATATTGTGGGGTAAGCACCCTGGGTTAAAACTGGTTTTTTCCTTGGTTCTCTCAGAACACTTCCATCTGGTCTCTTGGCAACATCCTCTCTGATAATAAAACGCTCTGAAAAATGTTTTATGCACACACCACAATACTATGTAGGGCACCAAATAATTTCTCTGTGAATATTACGTATGAACTTTGCTCGCCACTCTGTCTTCTTGGGAAAGGAAAACACAGTGTGCTTGTGGTTGTTGTTGCTTGAATGGCATTTTGGCAACTTATACACTCTTTTCAACTGTGAAGAATGATGATAATAATTATTAAGTAAAATAATAAGCAATTATATATGAAAATTAGTGTTTTATTGTGATCCATTTTAGAAATAATTTCAAAAGAACTCCACTTCATTTATTATCTCAAACATAAACCCAAGCTCCTTACGATAAACTTCTAAAATGACAATTCAGTCAGGAAACTATACAAAGAATCATATTCGGACGCAATTGTTGCCTAGGCAATGAGACAGGATGCACAGAAATCACTACGTCAGACCGTGCTTCAGATTTGACTGTTAAATCGCAGCGTCATTCTCAGACCGGCAGCAGAATAAAAAGTTTCACTTTTGTTATGTGAACAAATGTGACTCACATTGCGATGATACTCTTAATTTATCTGAAATTAATGTTTGAATATGGATTTCATCTTGGGATGCCATGGGTCTATTATTTCTTTAAGCACCAGTAACTGTCCGTAGAAATGAAAGAAATGCTTCCAATGGATTGGTGCATCGCCACACACGCACCAACACGTACGCGCGTTCCTTGACGGCAGTCGCTCAGGCCAGTGGCAAGGTCGAAGCGGTTCGATTGACTTTCCATTGCTTTCTTTATATCTATCGCCGATTTGTGTCTCTTAACGGGAAGCTCAGAAGAACTTTTATATACTGTAGAAAAGGTGGCACATGGACAAGGACAAGGTGGCAGAAATTGAAACGCCATGTACTGAAATCACTGGAGACACTTTTTCAAATGTAGCTCAAACACTTGTAAAACATACTTAGAAGTGAATAGACTCTGATAGTGGGCATTTCGAGCATTTAACTGTTGTACTCATAAAAGACAAATTATTATTGCCCGGCATTTTCATTTGTAATATAACTTCTTTCTGACATATGAAAGCAAAATTCATACAAATAGAAAATGCTGGGCAATAATACAATAATAATTTTACACACACACACACACACACACACACACACACACACACACACACACACACATATATATATATATATATATATATATATATATATATATATAGTATGTATAGTTAGCACATTGACCGCCAAATTAATTTAAATGGCGCCATGCTTCGAACAGATCAGTTTCACCGCGCAAATTCCTTCCCAACTGACAAAATACTCATTTTTTCGTACAAAATTCTTTGACATCGTTTGTCAACTGCTTCCTGTTAGTTCGGAGAGTCACCATAGATCGCGTTACCTTCTGGTCGGTCGTGACGAGCAATTTTCCCATTGTCAGATTTCTCGGAATCCATTTTTTTCCACATTTTTTAGATGCGGCGAACTCGCATTGCCATGGAAATCAGAGGAATCGCGTGCAGTTTCATGGCCATCGTGTACAGAAATGTGTTGGGCATATTCAAAGTTTGATACGGGGGGCTGCCAGACAATTCCCAGCACCCTTCTTCAGTATACGTGCCATCGAACGCCCAGACCGTTTGAGTATAAGCGTGAAATTTGCCAGGAAAACGTTTACTTTCGTCCGGACAGAGGAACCATGGCAGTCTCTTCCATACTGACTGATTCTTTCTGCACAGTACCAATGTGACGATGCACCTGCGCAGACGCAGAGTGCGTGCCCGAGTGGGTGTTCGAGTCCGGCGGCGCGGCGCGCGACTGGGTGCCGCCCAGGACGACGCGCACGGACGCAGTGGTGCTGTACTTCGTGGTGGCGTGCGCGCTGCGCGCCGCGGCGGCGCTAGCGCTCCTGGCGGCGCTGGTGGTGGGCAGCCGGCGCGGGCGGGGCGTCGGCCGCGCCGCCTTCTGCTTCTGGCCCTGGGCGGTGCTCGCCGGCGGCTGCCTCGTCGGGGACCTCGCCTGCGCCATCGTCTTCGGCACAGACCTCAGCGACACCGGCGTAAGCACAGCCTGTGCCTCTTAGCTTCTATCGCCCTGTCTGGAGGAGCATTCTCAGTGATTTCTTCCGTCAATAGGACGTGAATGCTGGAGCGTTACCCTAACAAATGGGCCTTGTCCGCTCCTCCCCTTTACAAACATGCCCTTAAACTTACATGCACTTCGCTACCACACATGTGGGGAGCAAGACCCGGGGAGGCAGAGCACCTGGCAAGCCGAGTTGTCAGTTCCAGAGGGTGGAACCTCCCGGGAGTACAAAGTAATAGATGGTGGCACCCGGAAGCAGTAGATAATTTTCACTCACCCGAGAATGTTGACTCAAGGATAATACACTTTGCGCACTCCTACCTATTATCTGCATAGTCGAGTTGTTGAGGAGTGAATAGCAAAAGTCTCCTGTTTAACACCCCAAAATCTTTTGTTCATTTAGATTGAAGGTCATTATCTCTGATGACTATTATCAATTTTATTTTATATTCTACGCATTGAAATAATATTATATCAATATACACGCAAATTGTTGAATATTTTGTGCTATAATATTTTATGAATGAATGGTTAATGGCAAGAATTAGATTCCCATATCTTCTTGAAATAGCTAGAGTTGTAACCAACATCCCCACAGTAAACACATTATTATCGATGTCAAGTAAGAACTTTTCGGTGGTTTTGGCTCCCTACAAGAGAGAAATTAGCCTTGGCCCGCGTGTGCCAATCGACACCTTCACCGAGCACTCACGCTCCGACCATCGCCCATATCCCCCATCCATATCCACTCGCTCTTGAACTCATCAATGCACGAAGTCGCATAACACTGCGCTCTGCCCCATTGTTGGCTTGCGCCTGCCGGCAGAATTTGTGGACTCTCCTCGGCTTGGACGTCCCCGAGAACCACCCGAACTCCAGCGCAGAGTACTGGGCGCTGCCTGCCGTGCCCATCTTCATGGCTGTGGCCTGCCTGCGCTTCGGGATCTTGTGGATTGCGGAGGCGATCATGCTGCCGGTGGCCGTGCGCGCCTTCCTCAAGGACCGGACAGAGGTTAGTGCGCGAACCCACTTGCCTCTCCCGACACCACGCGCCACCTTCCCAGAAACTGACGTTTGCCGCATCGTAGTTTCAAATCCCTTGGAAGACACGCGTCTTGGCACTACCCTGCAAACTCCATGTTGCCTCCATTTCATCGTTATTAATAATCCCGAAGAGCCTACTAACCCCGACGCTTATACCCCTTTAAATTATAACCCTAAGATGATATACTGCACTTTCAATTTATAACCCTACGATGATATACAGCAGTATACCATTTTTACATACACTGAACGTAAAATGTGGTAAAATTATCATGTTAGGCAATTTCCTTCTTTCTAATTCTGCTTGCAATTCTTAACGGAAACTACTATTTGTAGAAAGAATTTAACAAATACACAACAAATTGGAAGTAATCATGAACAGTGTTCTTTTTTTGAAGAATCAATTTTGATAAGAAATATTGAACAAGTTTCCCTTTCCTTCTTAAATATCTACAGAACATTTCCAGTTGATATGCCCGTTCGCAGAGCTAATCGTTTCCACCCTTCCTCTCAATCTTACGCGACCCAGCGGAAGCAAAAGAGCGTTGACGACATTGCCCCGGGGCCAAACAGAGACAAATGCGCGTCTTTTCAGGGAAATGTTCATTTTGTTTACGTGACTTTACGGAAACTGTATTTACGGATGAAAATAATAATACTTGAATTTTTATCACCGTATTTTGCTCTATTCCAAACAAAATTAGAAGGAACATTACAAGCGTTTCTTTGAAAATAAGTTTTGAAAAATTGTCATTTCACTCAAAATTACGCCCAAAATATTTTGTCATAACTGTAAGTAACTATATTCAAAGAGTCATTCAAGTCTTAGAAGAACAGATTTTATATACAAAAAATTCTCTATCTTCAAAATTGTAGTTGCAGGAAGACGACAAAAACTTTTTGAACTTGCGACGGACGGATAGACGAAAGGAGAGGCGGGTGGGCTCGTGGACAGAGGGATGGAGGGACGAACGGACAGGCGGAGGGGACGTGGACTTGGCCCCAATGGAGTCAGCTGCGCTTGTCGCCTTCGCGCCACTCCTTTCTCTCGGAGGCCTCTCCCTGCGCTGCACCTGCGGTTTTCCACACCTGCAGCGGAGGCGAAGCGATGCCCCGGACTCGCAGTTGGCGGGGCGGCGGCGGGCGGGCGGGGCGGGGGGCGGGGGGGCGGGGCGTCGGGCGGGGCGGCGGGGGACGGCGGGCGGACGGTCGGGGGCGGGCGGGACGGGGGGGGGCGGGGGGCGGGCGGGGCGGGCGGGCGGGGCGGGGCGGGCGTGGGCGGGCGGGCGGGGGCGGGGCGGGCGGCGCTGGGGGCGGGGCGGGCGGCGTCGGGGGTGTCAGCAAATGTTTCGGGATCAAGGACTCGCAAAACGTGGATAATGAGTACACAACGTGTTGGAGGAAGTATTTTGCGATATATGCAGGATGATTTTTTAAATCTTTTTTAACTACATATCTTGAACACTAACAATCGTATCAAGAAATGTTTAGAATAAAATTTGTTTGTCTCAGAGAGGCCTATTGAATGACACCAATCTCGACCTGCCTCCTTTACCCCCTGGGGGTGGAGGTGCGGCAACATGCGAATTTCAAATAGGAACCCCTATTTTTATAGCGGTTTAGGACTCTCCGCCAAAAAATACGTAGATTTTGTTTGAAACATTTTCTTTGTTTTCCAATAGGTGGCGCTGTAATTGTAGAAAACACAATTTTTCGCAACTCTGGTGAAATTGCACCAGGGGATGAAAAAACATGGAGTTTTTAGAATCTTATCTATTGATAAGAATGAGCACCCCCAACCTCTGATAGAGAGTGGGAGTGTAGCTAACTTTTAAATTTCAAATGGCACAAATTTCAAATTGCTATAACACAGTTAATAACATTCAAAAGTGAATGTAATAAGGCTAAAAAAGGGATAACTATTCCAAGATCTTCTTGCTAAAAGGTTCCGAAATAAAAAAAAACGAAAATAAGTTTCCCTAAACGTGCGACAAACAATGCGGTTTCAACGCGATGGTTGTCCAGCTCATTATCATCGAGAAGGACGAGGCGTGTGAGGTCGCGTGTAGCCTCACCGGTGCATCGGAAGGCGGCTGCAGTAGCTCGGCCTGCCACATCCTATCTCCCTTAATGTTTATTTGTGGGGTCACTTGAAGGGTTTAGTCTTTTAGTTTATTTAGTTGAAGGAAAGTTTATGATCAACTGTCAACAATACGCGAGAACGGGATTGAGCGAATCACCGATGCATGTCGTAATATTCCGCCCCCAAAACTTCTTAGTTGTGTTCAATCTTTCTAAGTGCGGATAAATAAATGCATCGAAATGGGTGGTCAAGTTTTTGAGCACTTGTTGAAATGATTATTTAAATCAAATACTCCGACGGTGAGAGGCGAGAGGACCCATCTAAAACAAGCACCCCGTTGGTGATTAGAAGCACCCCCGATATTATACCAATTTGAAAGAAATTTAAGTTAACCCCCCCCCCCGCTCTTTATCAGAGGTTGGGGGGTGCTTATTCTTATCAACAGATAAGATTCATTATGTTTTTCACCCTCTGGTACAATTTCATTAGAATTGTAAAAAATTGTGTTTTCTACTATTACAGCGCCATCTACTGGAAAAGAAAGAAAATGTTTCAAACAAAATCTACGTGCTTTTTGTGGAGAATCCGAATCCGCTATAGAAAACAGGCAAACAGGTCGAAATTGGTATAATCCAAAAGGCCTCTCAGTGATAAACAAATTCTACTACATAAGTAGTAAGCGAGAAAGAAAAATATACCTACACTATTGTTTCAATGTAGTTATCACAAACTTACCTCTTTACTTCTCAATGTTATGAAAAACGTACTCTAGATCCATTGCACTTGAGTACGGGAGAGTCGTGTTAAGGAAGGTTATTCTCTCTGCATCTGGCAGAGCAGCGGGGGCCGCTGGCAGGGGCCAGCAGTGAAACAGCGGTTTGCTTTCCGAGTTGGTCGTACTCCTGTCACTGTACACGGCTTGCACTGTTTCTCTTATCGCATAGTTCGAAATGATTTAATACACCAGTAACAAGAATTATAATCCGTTTCTGGAACAACTCGATCAGGTTTTTGTGTGCAATTCCCCGTGGTATATTCAGTTATGCTGAAATACTTTCTTGCTCCACTTCCAAACAGTGAATGTAACCTCACTTTCAGCGCAAGTTTTCTTGAGTCCAAAGTTCGCCACGCAAGGCAGTGAGGGGGTCGCTGCAAAGAGTTTCCATCATTCGGGAACGAACATTTATTGTTATCAAATGTTTCCAAAAACGCTCTTTGTTTATTCATAGTCCTGACTCATGTACCGTGTGCGCAGCATCGTACTCCACATACGACAATCCAGTTTTTATTGTTTTTCATATGAGGGAAAGTAATTATAAGATACGTGACATTAAATAAATAAATAAATAAATAAATAAATAAATAAATAAATAAATAAATAAATAAATAAATAAACAAACAAACAAACAAACAAACAATATGATGGATGAATAAGTGCGTGGGTGGATGGAAGGGCTGGGGGCCAGGTTCGTGAAGGAAGTGGCTGCTTCAGGAGAAGTGGCTGGCGAAGAGCCCCTCCGCGAGCGGCCCCGGGAGATCCACGCCGCCCGTGGCCGCGCCCTGGGTGACGGCCGGCGGCGGCGGGGACGTGGTGCGGCGCCCGGGCGGCGGCGGCAGAAGCCCACACGGCCCCGACTACCAGGAGATCAACGCGCCCGCCCTGGAGTACTTGTCGGTGCCCGCTGACTCACAGGTGAGGCGCATCGTGGTGGCCCGGGGGCAACGCTATGCATGCATGTGTCCCTCTGGGTGGAGCTCTCTGATTTGTACCTGGATACTGCATAAAGACTATATTGCTCACTCCAAGATTGTTTGGAATTTCGAATTAGGTTTTAGCAATTTACAATACATAGACAGTAACAATATCAACAACAATTTTTAATTTATCTGTAGGAGTATGAATGAATCAGTAGCAAAATGAATTTGGCATAGAATTAAGTGTTCCCAAAAATATTTGGAATATCCCACATGCAAAGATGTACATTAAGCGAAGAGTGGAGACAAAATAGTTCTCTTTTTAATTTATGAAGAAAAAATGGATAAAAATAATATGTTATCAGCAGGTTATTTCACTGCAGTATCTCTAGTTCTTACAAAATTCACGAATTCTTTTAACAGTCTTGCGTTATTAGTTTCGTCAGTCAGCAAATCCAGACATTATCGATCATTGTAATTGGAATCTTCTTTCCTATTCACTCTCTAACCGAATGTAAAAATCGACTACCGACCTACACTCAATGCTTTCATTATTACGGTTGGATGACTGCTCTTGCTTCTAGAAATATTTGAATAGGGTCTTGCAAGTTAAAGAAGCCCAACCTTCCCGAACTCCTCATGCACTACAGTGTTATAATAAATTTATTTTGACAGCTTTTTTAGCTCAAATGTTTGTATATTAATAATCTCTAGAACAATGTCAAATAAGTCATGTTTTTTGTTTTATTAATTTAAATGATTCTAATTGTTTGTTTTGATAATTCTAATTACAGATTAAGAATTTCAGGAAGTAATCTTCATTATGATAGCGTTCCAGAGTAGTTACAAAAGTATCAATAGTAAAGTATGTGATGGCGAGTCCAATACATCGTTGCGTCACTTGGCCTTTGCGCTTGCAGGCGTGGGGCGGCGTGCGGCCTCGCGATCCGAACTGGCGGGACGGCGGCGGCGGGGCGCCAGGCGGAGGGCTGGACCGCTGGAACCGCGAGGGCAGCGGCGCCGGGGGCGGGCAGCCGTCGCGCCGCCACGCGCCGCCGCCGCCGCTGCAGCTGCCGCAGCAAACGCGTGATTCGACGGGCAGCCAGCCTGTGCAGCCGTCGCCCGCCCGCATGGGCGCGTGGGACCCGCGCTCGCCGCTGCCGGCGCCGGGCGCCCAGCCGCCCTTCTTCGGCGCCCCGCCGCCCACGCACACCTCCTTCGGCCACCCGCCGCCCCAGCAGCAGCAGCAGCAGCAGCAGCAGCAACACGCGCCCTTCAGGTGAGGGCGGGCGGCGCTTCGCTGGCCGGTTGGGGCTCGCGAGGAGCAGCACGAGAGAGCGAGAGGGAGAGAGTCATTGCGCCTCAACTCAACTAGTCTATGATTTAAAGCTGTGCCGTAAGAGTAGTACATGATGCACTACGGGAAGTGCCTCCCGCTGGAGATTGGCCGTGCGATTGGTCAAATGCCGAAATACACGGCAGCTCGCTGTGTTCTCCTCTCCAGGTGTCTTCTTATCCTCTCGCGCCCCTCTTGGCTGAGCTCCGCGCTGCCCACTGCAGTCTTGGCTTATGCAGTTTGTTTATGCAGAGCCACACGTGCAAGTGTCAGTTAGGAGATGAGGAACAAAAGAACCCGCGCGGGCGTTCAATCAACCACCCGAAAATGTAGTGAACACATTAGCCTTCAAAGGGAGATTTTATGTGGCGAAAACGTATTTCCTTGTTTCGGGTAGGTTTCTGCGGGTAACACTCTAGAACTTGACAACCTGGGATACATCGCTTCTTAGAAATGAAAAGAAACCGCGAGTTCCGATCGCTTGCGGCAAAAGGTTCTGAAAGGGTAAAAGTATTCAAACTTCATTATTGTCAGAAATATATATTGTTTACAAAATAACACCTTATATATTCATATCTTTACTTCTTTTTCAAAAATATTTAAATTTGTTGCAATACGTAAATATGCACAGGTATATACTTACAATTTATTTTGTGGACATCTTTTGTGATTTTTTCCATATTGTCCATATTTATATCCATATTCAAGTATTTGCTGAACGAGATTCGTATGTCTTATACGCGTTTTTCTTAAGCTTAAAAATGCCTACCCCCAACTCTTACTGACATTAGTAGAATTATAGATGAATGTTGGTGACGAGCGTTGATAACAAAAACTTACTACGAGAAAAGTTCACTCCCGAGCAATAGAAAATATTTTGCAAATAAAAGCGATCTACAGATTTTAATATTTCTGCTGAAAAAATAATACACCCCACACCTCCCTCATTTAGTAAAAAGAAGGCACAAGAAAACGTACGGCGAGATGGGGTCTGTTGAGGAGAGAGAAACCCACGGACGCTGTAGGGTCTAAATACCCCAGAACTGATGGATGTTACTTGGTTGTCACTATTGTAATTTTTTTTTTTTTTGACGAAGGAAACGTAGTCGGATTCCCAAAATAAAATTGTGGTAAAAGAAAGATTGAAAGTATTTATTGGGGTTGTTCTAAATTTTAAAAAGGGACTGAAAAACATTTAATATGCAATTAAGTAGTAACAGTTTATTAGAAATGTTGCAGGAACAGTGAATATTTTCTTCAGATTATTCCTACAATTTATATATGACTGGTTAGAAATGTAGGAATTTTGAAATTTCCCAAATGTAATTGAGGCTTTGGGGTGTTTGTTATAATGACATTATTACTTTCTCGCCCTTACGTAGTAAGAAGAACACATATTGTAATCGCGCACAATAAAATGGCGACTATTCGTCTAACAAAACTCTTCGAGCCCTGGTAATGTAAAAGTAGATATATCATTTTCCTTAAATTGTAAATTACTTCCTCTAAAATTTAATGTAGCCAGAATTAATGATTTGTGCATCATTGATACCGGAAAATCGTTTGGCAGCAAAATGTCTGTCTGTCGATCTGTCTGGTTGTACGTCTTTGGTTAAAGCTAGCTCCTAAAACATTCGGCCGAAATTTTTCAAAATTGGTATTGTCCGGTCGATCTCAACCAACTCATCGCCTTGTGACTTTGAAACGGATATCTTGATTTTTGAGGATACTTGACATAAAGCCTTGACATTTTCAAAATTTCGAAATTTGCAAAAAGTGTATTTTTTCGGGCGTCTTCCCACAACTATGATATTAAAGACACAGACAGTTTTCCTCAATGAAATCTGTTCTGTATATAATTAACGTAGAATTAGCAAATAGGCTTCTTTTACTTTAACAAATTTTGATCATCGATCACCGCTTTTCAGAAATTGTTAGCTCGTTTCGCTATCGAAATAAACGCAGATATACGTCACAGGCGCTGCAATTGAATGGCTTGAATTGCACTTTTTCAAGTTATGACTGAGTTCTAGTATGGCAAAAATTACAGTATTTCAATGTCATGTGACTATTTCCGACAATGATGGAAAGTAGGTGCGGTTGTAGAATGTGGAATTATTTTTTGGGGATCGTTTTTTTCCCGTCGCAAATGGGCTTTACTACAGAGTTCGCGAACGTGCAGTTATACCCAGCTATATTTTTCCCTGGGGGTCTGAACGTCAATCATTATTAGAGAGGATCAGCATTTCTGCTGAGTCCATTTTTTGACCCACAGTTGATAGTTCTGTAGGTAAGGAAGATGAAATGATGATGATTAGGAGAATGGAGAGGATGAAACACACACAGTTAGAGACAAACACAAACACTCCCATGCTCGGAGGCGGAACTTGAACCCGCGAGCTTCTGGTCTGAGACTGCTTCGATACTACTGCCTTAACGATCTTGTCCTTGTGACCGGCTACGGGACCAGTTATTTAATTTTAATTTTTATATTTTTTTATTATTACTTATTCGATATTCTGAGCACGAACTTGTAGTAAAATATACACTAAGCACCATTTAGAAATAAACAATAGAAATTTCAATACAGATTTAACCATTTAAATATTGTTTTAACAAAAGCGGAGATTAATTGGCACTGCTTACTGTTGTCGCCTAGATTTTTTGCTAAAATATTTGATTTGATGTCTCGATAATCAAAACCTTTTAGTATACCATTTCTAGGTAAGTGTCGCTGTTTCTGCTTGGTAGTAATGAGAGCACTTTTGAAATAGTAAAAAAGCAAGTGTTTCGTGCGACTTTGTACCCGTAAATGCCAGTGTTTGTGAGTGTTGGTGTGAGGCTGTTTGGTGGAGGTGGAGGCGCGCTGTGTGGCAGGCCGTCGGCGCAGCCGCCGCGCGCGCTGCCCGTGGCGGTGCCGACGGTGCCCGGGCCGGGCCCGCCGTCGCCGTCGCCGTCGCCGTCGCCCGAGGCGGGCGAGGCTGAGGCGGGCGAGGCCGAGCGGCGCTACGTGGAGCGGCTGAAGGACCACGACGCCGAGCGGCGGCGCCGCGACGCGCGCAAAGAGGCGGAGCGGCGGCGCCGGCTGCAGGAGGAGGAGCGCCAGGAGCGCGACCGCGCGCTGCAGGAGGTGCGCATTTACACACATGCCTTTCACAGATAGGTATTCATTTCATTATCATTCATCAGCAACTCTTTCATTCATTATTTTGCGATAAAGGGATGTGGGTTAATTAAAATTATATTTTTCGCAAAAAAAAAGTAGTTTTATTCGCTTTTAATATTCTCAATAAAGACGTAATATATGAGTGCTGTGTCTGCTAACGAGGTCTTTGTCTTAAAGCACAGAATCAAAACGTTCCTCGCCTCAATTTGATTCATTTTGAGCGATACTTCAGTTTATAGTATTTCTTCCGTTATTATTAACGATTTCTTTTCAATAATTCAAGTGCGTCTATTCAATGTGAACTCACTTTTGTATTTTATAAGCGAAATTTCAAGCATCTGATGATAAAAACTACCCCCAAATTTTGAAGAATTATTTTCAAAATTCACTTCGAGTCGAGCCAGAACGACCAGCTAATATTCATTTTGGGAAGAATCCTACGTATGGTTTAGGCGCCATTGATGTTCATAGACTGGCTAACGGACGTTTACAAAAACACTTTTTCGAAATCAGGGCCCCCAAAATTTGTATTTCCGTTGAAATCTCAAAATCGAATTCCGCAGCATTACATAACTTTATCTATACTACATATATACTCCATATATACGTACGTATACGATAAATTAAAAACCAATCATTTGGAGGAAATGAGACACAATAAAAAGGAGAAAATGAAAGTGCATTACAAATGACATTATTATGAGACATAATGCATCTCATTTCAGAAAGATTACTCATATCATTTCTCGTATGAAGTGAATTGTTGTAGACAACCACTTTTGTAAATTATTATTATTATTAATTGAACTTGAACTGGAAAATCATTATTCATACACACATTGCTGTCTGAAGTAATTTACTTATCCATTTCTGATAGTTCCATTTTTCTAGTTTTCAAATTCATTGTGCTAGTTTTTCAAGCACCAATGCATTTAGTTAAAATATATTATTTTCTAGATCAAAATAGAAATTGCGTCCAATTGCCTGCTAAAATGAAAGTCTTATGCATTGGCTAAAATATGGCGTGTTTCTTACACAGTGGACTAAACCAAGGCCCCACAATCCTCTGCTAGTGGTCATCCTTCTCCATTGCAAATTAAAGCTTGTGCTGGCAACCATGTTAGGGGCATGGTTAACTCCTAGACGTGGATAGGATCTGGATGGAAGTAATATCAGAAAACTCTTTCAATGTTTAAAATGAAGCCCTTTATAGTATTTGAGTCGCCGTCACTTGCCGCCCACCAACCAGTGTTGCCATATAGACGGAATTCCCGCCGTTTTCAGCGGATTTTGAGCCCGTACGGCGGAAAAAAAATAGTTTCGAGGACAGAATAAACGGCGGAAATTAATAAAGTTAGTATAGCAGTAAAATTAGTAAAGCACCAGTTTTCGTTACCTTTATTAATAAGTTGTTTTGCACAGGTGTATATTTTTAAAATTTCTAAATCCATGTTTATATATATATATATATATATATATATATATATATATATATACTAGCAGGAATAAATAATATAATACGTGTATAATAAATTATATAATACCTGAAATCAATTGTTATTATGTTGCAAATTTTCATCCAAGTAATGCATTCTGTATTATCTAAAAATTGAATTGCAGGTTCAATAAAGCCACTATATTTCGCAATCAAATTTATTTAATAGAATAAATTAAAACAACACAAAAATATGAAAAAAGAATTTATTTTACGTTTAGCGGATTTAGGCGGGAAATTTAAAACCAGTTCAGCGGATTTTCGGCGGAAACTGAAACGAACATGG